TAAATGGAAGACACACCCCAAATAAATTATCATTATAGAATAATCTATCAATCAAAATAGTCAATGATGGCAGCATTCTTAAACTTGTCTTCTTTGATCAACTCCATCAGTTTGCTAATTGACTCAGCTACACTGAGAACTTGATTATTACGAACAAGGTCTTGGAAGCTAGCTTTAGTTGAAGCAAAACCAGCCTCATTCCTGACAGCATGAAGCATGTCGGTATCACAAGGACCAGGGCTGTAACTCAACATCCTAACATCTGGATGCTCAATAGCCAATGCTTTGAGAAAAACATTCCTAGCTGCTTTAATTGATGCATAAGCTACACCACCACCAAAAGGTATCTTTGCAGCAAGCGATGACATGTTCATGATGAATCTTGGTCCAGTTTTGATGCAAGAGAGGAAGCGTGTGGTTAGAATCCACATTGAAGTATAGTTAGCAGTGAGGTATTGAGCAATAGCAGCAGGATCAGTTTGATCTGCAGTAGGAGTAACAATATCACCCAGGGAACCAGCATTGTGAAAAATGGCTGCTTGGTTGTATTTTTCAGAGCTGTATCCATCCAGTATTTTTGTGGATATGTCAGATAAGCAAGCAAGATCCCCAAGGTCAGCTGGGACAATGGTAACATTGACAGGACTTGATTTGGCTATCATTTCTTTAGTTTCCTGGAGCTTAGAAACATTACGCGAGACAAGAACAATAGTAGAGCCAGTAGCAGACCATTCTCGTGATAATTGGATTGCTAATTCTCTTCCTAAACCTCCACTGGCCCCAGTTACAATACAATATGTTGATCTTTTGAAGAAAGCAGCCATGATGTTGATGTTAAATGGAAGACACACCCCAAATAAATTTATCATTATAGAATAATCTATCAATCAAAATAGTCAATGATGGCAGCATTCTTAAACTTGTCTTCTTTGATCAACTCCATCAGTTTGCTAATTGACTCAGCTACACTGAGAACTTGATTATTACGAACAAGGTCTTGGAAGCTAGCTTTAGTTGAAGCAAAACCAGCCTCATTCCTGACAGCATGAAGCATGTCGGTATCACAAGGACCAGGGCTGTAACTCAACATCCTAACATCTGGATGCTCAATAGCCAATGC